GTTGATGTTGTTTTAGTAACTGCTCCCTGTTCATGTGCTTCTGGTGATAAACCTTCTGGCTTATAATGGTAATGTGTGCCTTAGGACAGAGACCTCTTGGTACCATGCTCGGTTCTCGAGGACACCCATTTAGTGTCCCTCACAAGATGTTCTTGTCTCAGAGGGATCTTCACTATACTCTCCCCTGGCATTCTTAGCAACTGTCTTCCTTGTTATAGTTACTCAGTCTTTGAGGTGTGGGGCATTCAGGGCCAGGGGTGAGGGAAAGCTCAGGGGCTAATCAGTTTTCCTTGGTTGTTATCTGTTTACCACTCATCCCACTGGCTGCTATTGTTGCCACAAATTTACTATGGTGTTTCCTCATCACAGGGGCTGTAAGGCAGGCATCAAGCACCCAGGTCCTATGGAGGAGAGAGGAGCACAAATTAGCCTCTTCACCAGTGGTGATACTATGCCCGTGTCTCCCCAGGCCACTCCATTCCAGATGAACACCCCCTCTCTCTTCCCTAAGAGTTAGTCTCTGTCTTTGCTTTAGTTCTTCAACTTAATACATTTTCCTTGTAGATCTTTGGCATCTCCAGGGTTGTGCTTGGTGAAGGAGTTAGCAGCCTGCCCTGGTTTACCATCTTGTCAGGACTTCCTACTTCCTTGATTCATGCCTGTCTTCTCTTGTAGACTGCTGGCCTCATGAAGGTTGGCCTTGTCCCTCACCACTGGGGCCTAGAACAGTACCTGTTACATTGGAGATATTCCATAAAAATGTCCCAAATGAATTGCCTACTTCCTTCTGGAAAGGCTTTGTTTTCTCTTGATATTTTTACTCTTTCTTAGGGTCCTTCTCAGACTCACTCCTCTCTACATACCTGAAATATGTCTAGGTTTCTGTCCTCAAACTACATCTTTTCTCTTTCCCTGGGAATCTCATCCATATAAATAACTTAAACTACATGATGATGACTCCTGATTCTGGAATTTGTGCAGACTAAATTTCTTTCTTGAATCTAAGACTGTAATCTAACAATGATGGGCTTGGCTAATGTCCCACCGATGATCCAAGTTCAATGGGATCAAAACCAAATTAACAGGTATTTCCCTGAAACTGGTATCCATCCTGCCATTCCTGGAGGGGTCACCATGGACTCTTCCCTCTCTGCCATCACTCCCATGTCATGTCTTTTGTGAGCTCATGAAATCCTGTAGACTCAGGCTCCTTTATGTGTTTTATACTTATCTCCTTCTCCCCAACCCCATGACCACTGCTTTGGGTCAGACCTTGATCATTTTGCACCTAAGTTACCGCATGGACAATAGTCATCTTGCCTTTAGTTATAACTTCCTCTAGTTCATTCTCCGCATGGGGCCTAAAGGGAAGTCATATGATGCTATTAAATAATTATGCTTTTATGTGATTAAATCCTATATCACTTGGCTCCCTGTGACCTTTTAGATAACTCCCAATTCTTCAGTATGTATCTAGGATAACTCTATGATCTATATTGTAAACTGCATGAGGGTAGAGAGCAGGCCTGTCTCATTGTATTCAGTGTCCAGTAAAGCACCTGGCACATAGTTGGTGCTCAGTAAATATTTGTTGAATGATCAAGTGAATGAATATTCTAGCCCCTGCATACCACTCCAACTTCATCTCTTAATGTAGCCTCCACTCCACTTTTAACTACATTAAAAATTACTATATAGTCACATATAGCTGAACACATCATCTTGAGACAGCTGAGATTAAGTATGTCTGGCACATGGAATAAGTGATATCTCTCCCCACCCACCCCAAATATCTATGGCCACTGATTTAAATGAGGGCAGAGAAGCTCCCTGTGGAAACACTCAAAATAAATATGGAAATGTGCTCCACACAATTCAGGCGTCTTTAGTCGTGAGGCTGAGACCAGGGCAGGGAGCATGTGCTGGTGGAAGGGAGTCACAATGCAAAGAAGGGCTCTGAGGCATTTGAGAGAATTCATCAGTGGATCTGTACAAGACTGATGGGGGCAGTGTCTTTAGGAACAGCCTGGAGGCTAGCATGTAGAGCCGACCCTAAAGATAAGGTGTGAGCTCTGGGGAGGAAAAGACCATTAGTGCTAACCTGTAGAACAATTCCCTGAACTTTTCCCAGCACTTCCCACCCATGCAAACCTGATAAGGAGCCATTCTCATTCTCCATTCTCAGGGTCTACCAAGATGTTGGGTCTTATCAAGCCGAGATCCATCAACAGAGGTCTACAGTGTGGAGCAGTGGAGGCTACACAGAAGAGCTGGGCTCAAGGAGGGTACAGGCAGTGAGCAGCACTCTGGACTGCATATGAGGAAGCAACAGACACTGCTTTGGGACTGCCAGAAATGAACGGGAGCATGGCAGGGACCTAGTGGTAGAGGTGGGAGCTGAGAACCATGGTTATTTGGATCTCAGTTCTGTTGCTCGCCTACCTGTAGCCACTCTTTCTCTTCTTTTTTGCTAAAGAACCCTGGTTTTGTTCAATTCAACGCTGGTGGCGGTATACATGCAGAGGTTGGGTTCAACCACAGGGATTAGTCATGATTGCTTGAGGCATCATGGTACCCCATTTTAATTTAGTTCAGGGTTCATGAACTGGTTCATGAGTGGGCACATGACTCAGTTCTGGACAATGAAACAAAGAGAGGGACTGCCAGGGGGTGTGATGGTTAATTTTATGTGCCAACTTGTCTGGGCCATGGGGTACCCACACAGTTGGCCAAACATTATTCTGGGTGTTTCTGAAATGGTGCTTTTGAATGAGATTAACATTTAAATCAGTAGACTAAGTAAAGCAGATTATTCTCTCTGATGTGGGTGAGCCTCACCCCATCAACTGAAGGCTAGAATAGAAACAAAAGGCTGCCTGACAATCTTCACACTGGAGCATTGGCTTTTTCTTGCCTTCAGATTTGACCCAAAACATTGGCTCTTCCTGGATATAAGAGCCCACTGGCCTGTGAACCAAAACTCATGCCATCGACTCCCCTGGTTCTCAGGCCTTCGGACTTGAACGGGAATAACACCATTGGCTCTCTTGGGTCTTCAGCTTCTGACTCATTCTGCAGATGCTGGCACTTCTCAGCCTCTGTGACCATCTGAGCCAATTCCTTACACTCTTTCTCTCTCTCTAGATAGGTAGACAGGTAACTACGTCTATCTAGCTAGCTAGCTAGCTCGCTATCGACCTATCTATCTACACCTATTTACATACATATATATATTCTGGAAGAAAATAATATAACATAGTAAATATAATATAATAGATATTCTGGGAGAGATTTTTCTCCCTGGTGAAAAGAAAGAGCCCTGTGAGGAGAAACACGCTTTGTTGTTGTCTTTGATTCTGTCATGGGAGGATGGGATGTGTAGAGCTCTAACGGCTACCTTTTGATTATAATAACACAAGATGAGGAGAGAGGTGCTAAGGATGGCAGGAAAGAGAGACAGAAAAGCCTGAGCCCTTGGTGACATTGTTGAGCCACCAAACCCATCATGGAACCACCTGATCCAGGTATCTTGCTGGATATGGTAATGTTTCCCCTTGATGTTTAATTCTTGCTACCAAAAGTGTGGTCCACAGCTGATAGTGGTTGTATTATCAATTACATTCTGCATTTCTAATGAGCTTGGCCCCACCCCAGATCTTCTCACTCGGTACCTTCCTTTTAACAAGATTCTTGGTGATTTGTGTGCACACTGAAGTCTGGCAAACCCAGGCTTGAGTGGCTTTTAGCTGGGTGTTATTTTCCTCACATCTGAGCACAAAATTGATGAGCATAATTGATATGACCTCATTTGGATCTACGGACTGAGGTTTGTGACTGTTTGGATTATGTGGTTTTCTGGCCAGGTGGTGCCCCTTCTCTCTTGCTTGTTCCTTTGGAGAGTCTGGTCTCTCTCTCTTCCTTCCACTTATTCACGTGCTAACATATCTCCTTCGAGACTCAGCCAAGGCCTCGCCTCCACCACCAGGAAGCCCACCTGACTCCCTCCAGGTTGAATCAGGAGCGCTTCCAATTGCGGTTACTGTGACACTTCTGGAACCCCAGTACCTTGCGGAATTTTTTTTTTTTTTTTTTTTTTACTCTTCCTACCCTCCGCACCTATCTACTATCTGGCACATACTAACAGCTGAAAAAGTGTTTCTGGAAGACTGAAGCGTGCTTTGCTGACCTGCTGCTTGCTGTCATGTCCTGCTCCACAAGGGCTCCAGGCATCCCAGGCGCTGACAGGGCAGGCGGCCCACGCAGGATTAGAGAACTAGGGGGCCTGCTGGCCCAGCAGCTGTCTCTCCCTCCCCTCCTGCCTCCTCACCCTCCAGGGAGCACACACATCAGAAGCAGCTGCTCTCTTTCCCAGGAACAAATGTCACGAGGCAACCCAGTGACAGCTAAGCCAAAGGAAGACCCCCACAAATAGGAGCTCCTGGAGCTGGACGTGCTTCTGCCTGCTCCCTGGACTGGAGCCTGCACATGCCACCAAGCCGTTGAGGCTCTGGCTGTCTGTCATTCTAGAAGCAGAACGGAGTGGTAATTAAACTTAACGAGGACGGGGCCACGACAGCACTGTGCTAGTTACATCGTGAGAGCCTAAGTGCGTTTAATGGCACTTTCTTATTAAGAAATGATTAAAAACAGGTATCTCCCCCTTACTCGATGCAGAGCATCCATTTTTAGGTGCTGAGGTTTTTAGTCAAAGCAGCCTGGCTCCACTGTGGGATAAGCGTAGGGCCTTTGCTAGGAGCAGGCTCCGGGCTGGAGCCAAGGGCCCCTCCTGGCGAGGCAGAGGTGAGGAGTCTGTGTGGCTCATTTCCCAGCGGGCTGTGGGACCGGTGCCTCTGCCTCATTAGCGGGAGCACGGCGGCCGGATGCGACGGGCACACATGTTCGGGTATGCTTGGGAAATCAACTCGTGAGCTGAGCCACACCCCTCCAGCTGGGGCCTGCCTGGGATGATGTGCAGATGTGCTAATGGCTTGGCCTGACTTCAAGCAGAGGAAAGTAACAGAGAACTCGGGATGAGGAAGCATGAATGTCTGACCCTGGAGGGGCCCACATGGAACATTCCTTTGGGACCTGTGAACATGGCAGAGCCATGATTAATTCATTTGCTTTCTAAATGTTTGCTGAGCAAGCCCCTGTGCCCAGGAGCCAGGGTCCGGGGTGGGTCATTGGGATGTTGCTGCCCTGAAGGAGCAACGCATCGAGCGGGGGAGACAGACAGACAGACACATCCAATCTGGTGGGATAAGTGCTGAGAGACAGGTGACCTGAGGATTTGAAGGGAACAAGGAACCCAGACCAAGGGGTCAGAGAATGTCCTGAAGAAGGAACACTGAGCTGTTTCTTGAAAAGACAAGGCTGCAGAGGAGGATACTGGCATCCATGCAGAGCCGACTACGCAGCCGGCACAGTGCTGGCCTCATCACCCACATCTTGTCCCATGACACTCCACCGATGGGGAACCGAGGCTCGGGGAGGTTCCCTGGCCTACCTGAGGCCACAAGGGAACCTCTGGGGCCTTATGCCGTGACATGCTATCCATCGGTTATGCCAGGGATGAAAGGAAGGGCAGTCCAGGCTGTTTTAACCACATTTTCTAGTTTCTGTACTTGATGTTTTGACATCTAGAGCCTTGCTGACCAGAGAGGGACCAACCCTCCCAAGGTTAGCTGATTCCTAGAGAAAGCAAAAGACGGGCCTGGGAGCTTGCCTTTCCCATGCAAACCAGCCAATCCAGAGCCCACAACCCACCACCTTTTTACTGGCTCCCACACCCAGGGACCCTATCCACCTGCTCTGCTCAGTAGAAAGCCAGGTACCAGACAGCTAAGGGCAGCTCTGTGCCCCATAGCCTGCTGAAATTACTCAAGCCAGCCAATCCTGAGCCTGCTTGCCCTGCCTCAACTGCTCCTTCCCACAGATACCGCAATAAAATCTTTTGCCCTTTGCATCCTGAATGACCCCAGTGCTCCCCCGGGTGGCCCCGTGTGGCATGCCCCCTCCTCTTGGAAACTGTGACCAACAGACCAACTTTTCAGTGGCAGCATCTCCTGATCTGTTGTCCTCACCGTGCTTGAGTAAAATAAAACCTGTATTTAAAACACAGGCAAGAGGAGTTGCTGGTGCAAGGGGACCAACAAGAGCAAGTCATGCACATTCCATGAGCTGTTTGTGGGGCTGGAGCCCAAGGGCGTGGGGGGCTCCAGGGGGTGGGCAGAGGCTGGTGGCCATGCTGAGAAGCCAGCCTTGAACCCAGAGGTGCGGAGGTGCCGTTGAAGTTGGGAGACAGACCATTCTTTGTCACAATCCCTTCCTCAGCAGCTAGGAGAATGGTCAGGAGAGAGAGAGAGAGAGAGAGAGGACCCTGTGTAGTAATCCCAGTGTAACAAGAAGGGAGATTTAACTGGGGCCATGTTGGTGGGAATGGAGTGGAGGGAACAGACCTGAGAGCCATGGAGAATGGCCACACAATGACCAAAGCTTGGTGATTGCTTGGTTTGCCGGCCTTGGTTTGCAGGATTGCTTGATTGTCAGGCCTTGGTTTGGTGAGGAGGTGGAATGAAAGGGAGAACATGAGTTTTGGCAGAGAAATTCATCGGTGGTGGCTCCTTACCAAGATTGGAAGTGCTGAGTCGACTGCCATGAACATCCATTTGGTGGGAGCCATAGACCACTGGGCCTCTGGATTCAGAGCTCAGGGGAGCAGGTTAAACCAGAAGATCCGAGTGACATCTGAGGCTTGCCCTTTTACATAACAATGTTAAACTCCTCTGTCTTTTGTAATTGGTTATTGTTAAGCATTTCTCACAAAAATTTAACAGAAAATCTAATTGAAGGACCTTTATGTATCTTCACACACTGATCCCCAGAACTGTGTGACAAAGAACAAATGTTCTTTATATATTCTAGTTAGGGAACCACTACGTTCTCCATAGGGAGCTCAAAGATGCTCTTTGTCCACCATCCCTTAACAATTGCCACCACCATGTCAAAGAACCTAGGAAAGCTGATGTTTAGGAGTGGAGCAACTGCAGTGAGGCAGATAATTCTGATTTGCAATCTGAGGTTGATTGGGCAGGCATCCAATATTCTGGAATCACAAACACTCAAAGGTCAGGCAGGCCAAAAATGACTGATGAAGAGGAGAAACATCTGTGTGCTGGTTGGGGAAGGAGGGGGGCAGTGGTGGACACTCACAGCTGGGTTCCTGTTCTGCACCAGCTCCCAAAGGGCTGTAGGAATCTTCCAGCCCTGGCTTGGGGACCAGATGTGATTTGGGATCCTGGGAACCTACCTCTAGGCCCCAATACCTTGGGGGGAGCTTCACAATACACCCGACAGATTAAAAACTGTGTGTGTGAACAGTAATTGTGTGTGAACCGTGTGTTGTGGGGGTAAGGAGGTGCTAATGATATTTTATCATATTAGCAAAAGGGGCACAGTGGAAGAGCCTCCAAAACATTTGGTGCTTGAGAGATCCCAAAGCAGACAATGCAATCCTTATTCCCAAGGAGCTTCCAGGGTAGTGGAGGTGCCCAGCCCTATGTGAAGGAGCTTCAGACGTTTCTGAGGTATGATAAACATGAGTGTGCAGGATCTGTTCTGTAGCTGTAAAGGCCAAAGCAATCTGAAGTGGGAACAGAGCCCTACGGATGGTCCAGGGGACGCTGTGGAAAATGATGGACTTCAAAGCAGAGCATGGCATCTTTACTACTCTCAAGTCCTTCTCAGAGGGAAACTGGGCCATTTGCAACACCGCTGGTTAGGTCTCTTGCTTCAGATGAGTTCAGGCCCCTGAGAGCCTTTGCAGCAATAACTGTTAATAATAAGCTCATGCACCTGTAGGGTACAGGAGAGTACCATGCAGAAATCGTAGGCACCTGCACCTCAGTCACTTGAAATGGATTTTGCTTGGTGCTTTCTGAGAAGAGAAGGGAGGCACGCTAACTTTTCAGTCTCCTGAAGAAACCCTGAGTTCGTTTAGTACCTGAAAAACAGAAAAGACAAAAGTTACCATCGACAAAATGAAAAGGCAAACAAACTATGGAATAATATTGGCCACACAACGACAACGAAGGGCGAACATTCTTACTCGGTAAAGCTCACGCAAGTGCTCAGAAAAGTAACAAGACTGCAACAGGACCACATGGACAGGCTGTGTGGGGATGCCTTTTCCCTGCGGGGAAGCCCATTCCCGAAGCAGAGGCAGAGAAAAGCCAGGAAGCCACACTTGCAGCTTGCCTTACAGGTATGATATAGGTGGGTGTCCTGTTTTGACCCATAAGATGTGACGTGGACTTGGAGGCTTTGGGGAAAGTACAGGAGAGAGTGGTACAAGGCGAAATCCCTTCCTCTTTCCATCCTGCTTGTGAAGAGGGCTATGTCGAGGGTCCTTCCACTGCTTGGGTGTCCCAAAGAAAATCACAGAACATTTTGACCACAGCCCTTAAGTCACTGATGCTCTGAACCAAGGCTCCAACAAATGTGAGATTTTTTTCAATAACCGTATGTTGTTTAAGCCGCTTTTAGGTCAAGTATTCTTTTACTTGGGATGAAGTCATCCTAACTAATAAAAGTTGAAATAGATTATTTTAGGAGGAGGAAATTACAATCAGCTAATAAAGATATGAATAATGTTTTGCCTAACAGTTAAAGGAAATGCAAACCAGAATGACGCTATTATTATTTGATTATCAAATTTGCAAACAGAATGATGTATGTGTGGCGGGACGGCTCCCTTGTCCACACGTGATAAGAGAGCTAATTGGCACGATGTGTCTGTAAAGGAGTTTAATGATATATATGAGGATATAAAAGTTCTTCCTCTTTAATTCACTATTCTACTGCTGAAAATCATTAGAGATTCAAACAAAGATGCATTAACCGTCTCTTGACATCTCCACATAGAATGTTTTATGGGCTATTTTAGCTTTCTATTGCTGCTGTAACAAATGGTCACAAACGTAGTGGTTGAAAACAATACAAATTTATTATCTTATAGTTCTGGGGGTCAGAAGTCTAAAATCCAGGTGTTGGCAGAGCCGCGTTCCTTCTGGTGGCTCCAGGGGAGAATCTGTTTCCTTGCCTTTCCAGCTTCTAGAGGCTGCCTGCGTTCCTTGGCTCCTGCCACTTCCTCTCGTCACTCCGACCCCTGCTTCTATGGCCACAACTCCTTCTTTATCTCTGAGTTTCCTGCCCTCTTAGAAGAACCCTTGGGTTAGGGGCACCTGGGTGGCTCCATGGGTTAAGCGTCTGCCTTCAGCTCAGGTCATGATCCCAGGGTCCTGGGATTGAGCCCCCCATGGTGCACCCCATCGGGCTCCCTGCTCAGTGGGGAGCCTGCTTCTCCTTCTCCTTCTGCTTGCCGTTCCCCCCTGCTTATGCTCTCCCTCTCTCTGTCAAATAAATAAAATCTTAAAAAACAAGAACCCTTGGGTTACAGTGAGCCTACCTGGATGATACTCCCATCTCTAGACCATTACTTAATCACACCTGTAAAGTCTCTTTGCTGTGTAAGTTCACGGTTACAGATTCTGGGGATTAGGGTGTGGACACCACTGGGAAGGCATTGTTCTGTCTACCACACGAGCATTTCACACTTAAAATGTCAAAAACTTCAATTCTGCGTTCCTCTTTTTCACCCCAAACACTGCCCCTGTCATGCTGCAAATCTCTGTGCCATCATCTACACGGTGGTCCAGCTCCGCAACCTGAGTGTCAACACTGGCTCTTCCCTCTGTCATCCCCCATGTCCTCTTGCCATCTGTGAATGTCACCTGTGTACTAGGCACTGTTCTAGGCACGGAGACACAGAGATGAGGGGCCATATGGGGTCTCTGCTCAGAGGGTGAACACACAAGGAAATATCACTGAGCTATCAATGCTTTTAAAAATAAAACCCAGGCAATGTGATGCGTAGACTGGCTGGGGAATGGGTGGTCAGAGGAGGCCTCTCTGAGGGTGTAGGATTTAATCTGGGATTTTATAAGGAGTCAGTCACACAAAAGTCTCAAGGTGGTTCGGCCCAGGTCGGGGAAAGAGCTCCAGCAAAGGGCTTATTGTAGGGACGAGCTTTTGTTGCTCAGGGAACTGGAAGAGCGGAGAGATCAAGGGAAAGGGAGAGACGAGGCCAGAGGAGAAGGTAGGACCTAGTGGACCAGGGCAAAGACTGTGGATGTTATTGTCAGGAAGCGTAAACCTCTTGCCTCCATCCAACCTCTGCCCTTGTAACCGAACCCACAACCACCTCTCACCTGACCACTGACATTGTCTTCCTCTTGGTCCCCTTCCTCCACCTTTGCCTCCACCAGTCCACTTTCCATGTAATAGCCAAAGTGATATTTAAAGAGGATGCAGTACTTTGGCATATTCCACATCTGTCCCAACCTCCTCCCACTGTACCTTTTTGTCCCACAGAGGCTTGACCACTAAAGACCTTATTTTGCAGACTCCGTGCATCTTGGCTTCCAGAAACAGCTTAGGCTCAGCTTAAATCAGATGTACTGGTGGACCATGTGAGTTAGCGCAGAGAGAGGCAGGGAGAGAGACTCGAGGCCACAGGTGTGGGTCTCCCAGGTGTGGCTTTCACGGTGGGTCTAGCAGGTGTGGGTCTAGCAGGTGTGGCTGTAGCAGGTGCAGTGTGGCTCTGCAGCTACAGTTGAAGTTGTGGCTTGGGGATGCAGGATTGCTGCCTCCACGGTGTGTTCTGGAGCCAGCAGGTGGAGCCGCACTTTCCTGATTCCTCAGCTTCCTGTCTGCAGCAGAGGTAATGGCTTCCTTGGCCTGTGAGCTCTGTGGTGATGTTCCAGGAACCCCTCCTCAAGGTGCAGTCCATGGTCTGCCCCTCCAGCCCTTCCAAAAATTGGCAAGCAAGTAACTCCCTGTGTTAGATTCCTTTCTACATAAAACAGTGAGAGTGCTTTCTGTGATCTTCTGTGGACCTTGGAATACAAAAGGACTACCCTGATCATATCATTTCCCTGCTCATTGGCCAGAGAATAAACCCCAACATCCGATGCCTATGAGGCCCCTCATCTTAATTTCAGCACATGCTCCTTTCCTCTATCTCCATCTGTCAGGTCCCAGCTTAACATCACTTGCTCAGAGAAGCCTCCCCTCAGGGTTGCTGTCTCAAGAGCCAGGGGCCAAAAGCCTGAAGTCAGGATACCAGCAGGACTGGTTCCATCTGAAGGCTGTGAGGGAGAATCTGCGAGGGTTCTCTCTCCTTGGTTGGTAAGTGATCGTCTTCATGTTCACATGGTATTCTTCCTGTGTCCAAATTTCCCCTTTTAACAAGCACACTAGTCATATTGGATTGGGGCCCCACCCAAATGACCTCATCTTAATTATATCTGCAATGATCTTATTTGTAAATTCCAATTCCGTTCTGGGGCCCTGGGGGTTGGGGCTTCAACATATGTATCTTGTGGCGGGCGGTGGGGGGGGGGGGGACACAATTAAGCTCATGGCAGTCAGGTTTCCAATTATAACCTGTCGTCAAACTCCACTTCTTCATCAAAGTGGTCAGTGCAGTGTACAACAATACAGGCATTTGGCTGGTTAATGTCTTGCAACCAGACCATAAACTCCATTGGCTGGGAAGACCGTGTCTGCTTTGTTGATTGCTGCATCCCCAGTGCTTTGTACAGTGACTGGTGCATATCAAGTGAGCAAAAATGATTCATCAAATTAGACAATTAATGAATTGATAAATAATGATTACCTCTAATAGCTAATGAAAGACCTAAAAGGCCAATGATAGACAAATGGCTAAATCAACCAAGACACAGCTGTTTATTACATAGGTATTATAGTTATTTATTACATGGCTATTAAAGTCTGTTTCTGAAGAATCCCCCCCCGCCGCTGCCGTGGTAACCAGGTTTGTTCTCTATATTTAAGAGTCTGATTTTTTGTCTCTTTTTTTTTCTTTGTTTTGTTTTGTTTCTTAATTTCCACATATGAGTGAAATCATGTGGTATTTGTCTTTCTCTGACTGGCTTATTTTGCCTAGCATAATACTTTCTAGCTCCATCCATATTGTTGCAAATGGCAAGATTTCATTCTTTTTTATGGCTGAGTAACATTCCATTGTAAATACATACCACATCGTCTTTATCCATTCATCTATGGATGGACACCTGGGCTGTTTCCATATCTTGGTTATTGCAAATGATGCTACAATAAACATAGGGATGCATGTATCTTTTCAAAATAGTGTTATATTCTTTGGGTAAATATCCAGTAGTAGAGTTACTGGATCATAGGGTAGCTCTATTTTTAACTTTTTGAGGAACCTCCATACTGTTTTCCACATTGGGTGCACCAGTTTGCATTCCCACCAACAGTGCATGAGGGTTTCTTTTTCTCCACATCCTCAACAACACCTGTTGTTGCTGAAGAATTTTTAACAATGAAGGGAAATGCTTATTATTTGTCACTGAATGGCATAATAGAATATATTTGAAAAAAGAAGAGGAAAATGAGGTAGAGTCCAGCATTGACCCTCGCAGTAACTGGAAACCCTGATATAAACTCGGGTCAAGTTTGTAATTTTCCACATTGAATTTATTCAACAATTCTGATTATTTGCTCAGTGCCTTCTTGTCAAAGCAAAAAAAAAAAAATGATTCAGATCCTATTAACTATCCAATATTCTTTGGGGCATAAAATATGGGGATATGAGGAAATAAATAGGGCCTTGATTATACTTCTCTGGGCTAAGATAATCTTATTTTTAGTCTCTCTTTCTGCCATTAATAAAATAATGTCTGATCATATGTAGAAATTATAGGTTTGAACTTTGTATTTTGCCTATTTGCCCTTTAAAATTAAAAACAAATTTTCTGATTTCAGAACTAAGACGTGCTTATTATAAAAAAATTAAACATCAAAGTAAAATAGAATTTAAAGTATTCTAAAATTCTGCTTCAAAGCAATAATCATCGTATTGTAATCATGGTAAAATTCTTCCAGAATGTACTCTAAATATACACATATGCACACATTAACAGCACACAAACACTGTGCAGAAAGGAGCCCACACTATATGATGGTCTGCAAATTTCTTTTTCATCTTTAAAACATTTCTTGGCCACTGTTTCACATCAGGTTCCATGCGCCTCTCTGGTTCCTTTTATCCAGGAGGGTCTCAGACTTAGACTTGGTCACTTAGGGTCTGAGAAAAGGAACCAAAATACAGGAAGGTGACTGGTCGTCTTTCCAGGGGCTGAATGGTCAGGGTCCAGGTGCCCAGATTGGTTCATACCCTGTTGCTTTTCCTGGCCGTGGAGACCATGTTTACTATCCACATATGCTGGCGTGATTGGATGAATCGTATGTGGAATCCTCTTTGGGTGGAAGCTGCTACCTAAGTAGAAGAAGAACAGAACCAGGGCTATCCTACGCCTGCTGCAGTTAAAATCCTACCACTTTGCAGACTTCTCTGGAGCTTCCAAAGATTAGAGGAGTTATCTCACCTTTATTCAGCACTGTGACCCAGTATGTGAAACTGTTGTAGTATGGCTAAGAATACAGATTCAATATCTTTTAAGTGGGGTGGTGATGGTATGGGGTGTATGTGCACACACACACACACGATCTCAGGGTCGTGAGATTGAGCCCTGCATTGGGCTCCTCATTCGGCATGGCAGGGGAGTCTGCTTGAGATTCTTTCTCCCTCTCTCTCTGCCCCTCACTCCTTTGTCTTTCTTTCTAAAATAAATAAATCTTTTTTTAAAATAGAGGTGACTGTAGTCTGTAAATAGCTTTTATCCTCACAAATTTGGAATAGCATGAAGCTCCAAGACTGATTTTCTGCTCTGTTTTCCAGCCTCCTCTCTGAGTAAAGGGCTTGTGCTGGGAAGACCCAGTGTCACATTCCCAGGGAATGATGAATCCTACCGCACTCAAGGTAAACAAGGACGTTAGCTTCCAGCAGTGGGAAAACAAATCTCTGTGGAGAGGAAACCTGCAATTTGAGGTGGTTTTTTTTTTTAATGATTTCATTGCCTTGTATTAAAATATTATATAAGATAATCTATCAATTATCTCCTACTTAGGACAGTTTTTCATCAATTTATTTATTTACTTATTTTTTTATTTTTTTAAAAGCACGAACGCAGTCCCCCACTACCACAAATTATGCAGTCGAGTTTCCCACATTTGGGAAAATCGCAGAGGTCAGCACATCCGGAGTGCAATGGATAAGCCTTGTCCTGGGAAAGCCACCTTCATGATCATGGTATCTCCCCTGCCAGGTAAGTATGAGCTTTTCATCAATTTAACACAGCAATTCTGTTCACCTTTTTTTCAGGATACAGTGAAAGTTTAACAGCCAGCAATTAGGACAAAGAGGCTCTGGGGAGCATTATTTCTGTCCACGATGCATACATCACCCATGTTTATTGGCTTCACCCCTGAAACTAAGCAAGGCCCCAGACATGTCCTTTTATGTCAGAATCGGGAGATTTCCCAGAGCAGCAATAGTACATTATTTCATGGACACTTAGGTCAAGCAAGTGACAAGGACACACAAAGGAGGACCTTGAGCCTGACCCTTGATTTGGAACTCTCACTGGCACGTTACGATGGTATTTTCTTTGTCTAGTGTCTGGGCAGCAGACCGGAGGAACCTGTCTGCTGGCCCATGTCCTGGGACCACACCACAGTCCACCTTATGCCCAGCCCTGGGGCAGGGAGGTGAGCACGTTCCCAATTTGCACGTGGAGTGAGGTCCTGAACACAACAGGAGCGTGCCTGGCAAACGTTGCTCTATCACTTAGACTTAACCCACTTGGAATTTCTTTCTGTTTCTAGCGCGCTTTCTGCAAGGAGTTCAGGAAACAGAAGCAAACCGAGGCTGGTGTTAAACCTGGCTCCATCTTCACTGCATGTATTTTTTTTTCCCCCAAGATTTATTTATTTATTTATTTTGGGGCGGGGAGGGGCAGAGGCAGAGGGAGAGAGAGAATCTCAAGAGGGAGACACCTTGCTGAGCACGGAGCCCCATGCAGGGCTCTATCTCATGACCCTGAGATCACAAACTGAGCCGAAATCAAGAGTCCCACGCTTAACCGACTGAGCCCCCCAGGTGCCCCTTACACGGCTCCTTTTCTCCAAGAATAATTTGGAAAGTGTGGAAAGAGTCTCCTGGCTTCGGTAATAGGTAGAAATGATGATTCTAATCATTACCTTCAGTTCAGGGAGGGGGGTGGAGTCGAAGATAAAGGAGCGACAGGCAGTGTGAAAATGTTGGGACCCTGGCAGTGGATGAGAACACGTCGCATAGTTCAGTGGAAGACGCAGGAGGCAGAGTTGGGATATTGACTCATGGTGCCACCTTTCTTTTTCTTTTTTAAAGATTTTATTTATTTACTTGAGAGAGACAGAGAAGGTGACAGAGAGCATGAGCGGGGAGGGGAGGGAGAGGCAAACTCCCCGCTGAGCAGGGAGCCTGACAGGGGGCTCGATCCCAGGACCCCGGGATCATGACCTGAGCCGAAGGCAGACGCTTAATGACTGAGCCACCCAGGTGCCCCTTGTCTTTTCCTTTTTTTTCTTTTTAAAGATTTTATTTTCATGGTGCCATCTCGATCAATGACACAAGCCTTCTTATGTGGCACAACTGTGGTTTGTACACTGGCTTGACAACTCCAGCCGAAACTTGTTTATGCTGAGACAGGGCCAATAAAAGCTGAGAAACTGGCTTAGTCTTCCTGAAGAAGCAGGCTACACATGCATGTATATTGTACTTGTTACTTTGGAAGAGGCAGTAACTCATTAAAGGAATTTTTCTATCATTTTATGTTAATGGAAAATTTAATCTATAATTTACTACATTCCACGCTAAGTGCTTTCTACACCTTACCTCATACACAAACAGGACCTGGTGAGGCAGATGCAAGCATCATCCCCATTTTACAAGTGGCAAAATTAAGGCTTTAAATAATGTATTGCCAAAACAATCTTGAAAAAGAACCAAGTGGGAAGACTCCTACTCCCTGCCCTGACTTCAGAACTTACTACAAAGCTGCAGTAATTAAAACAATGTGGTCCTGGCCAAAAGACAGACATGTCGACCAATGGAATAGAATACAGTCCAGAAATAAACTCTTGCATTTTTGGTCACATGAATTTTTGACAAGGGAGCCAAGAGACACACAGTGAGAGAAAAGACCATCTTATTGACAAATGGTGCTGGGGAAACTGGACATCTTGCCTGCAAAAGAATGAAGCTGGACCCATACCTAATGCCATATACAAAAATTAACTCCAAATGGATCAAGGACCTCCATGCAAGAGCTACAATGATAAAACTCTTAGAAGAAAACAATACGAAAACTTCATGATGTCGGATTTGGCAATGATTTCTTGGATGCGACACCAAAGGTACAGGTAACTAAAGAATCATACGAATTGGACTTCATGAAAATTAAAAAATTGTGTGCATTGAAAGACACTGTCAACAGAGTAATAATGCAATCCATAAAATGGAAGATAATGTTTGCAAATCATAGCTGATAAGGGATTAATATCCAGCACATACATATAACTAAAACACAACAACAGCAAAACCCAAACAACCCAGTTCATTAAATGGACAAAGGACTTGAGTAGACGTTTCTCCAAGGAAGCTATAAAAAGGGCTGTTCTGCACATGACAAGATGTCACTAATTAGTAGGGGAATGCAGATCAAAACCACAATGAAATGACACTTCACACCTGTTATAGGATGACAATTATCAAAAACCAAACAAGAAAACAGAAAATAACAAGTGCAGAGGAGGATTTGGGGAGATTGGAGCCTTGTGCACCATTGGTGGGCACGTGTCCCAGCCACGGTGCAGAATTAGTCGGCATTTCCTCAAAAAATTAAATAAAGAATTCTCATAAGATCCAGCAATTTCACATCAGGATATGTACCAAAAAGACTGGGCTGGATCTCAGGAGGTACTTGTGCGCCCATGTTCAGAGCAGCATTACTCACAAGAGTTAAAAGGTGGACGCAACCAAATGTCAATGGACGGATAAGCAAAATGTGGCACATGCATACAAGGGAATATTATTCAGTCCCCAGAGAGAAGGAAATTCCAACATATACTACAACATGGATAAAGCTTGAGGACGTTATGCTAAGTAAACTAAGCCAGTCACAAAAGGACAAACACTCTGCGGTTCCCCGTATGTGAAATGCTGAGAGTAGTCAAATTCACAGAGACAGAAAGTAGGACGGTGGTTGCCAGGGGCTGGGAGGCAGGGAGAATGGGGATTTAGTGTTAATGGCATGATGGTTAATTTTATGGCCACGGGGTGCCCAGATATCTGGTTAAACATTATTTCTGGATGTGTCTTCGAGGCTGTGGTTCTGGTTTCTCCGGAGAGCCCTGACTGATATAAATGGATATAGTATATATAAATCTGCATACTTGGGGAAAGCACCTTGGAGAGGGGTTTTTTTGTCCTTTGTTTTTGCAAGTTTTGCAAGACGAAAAGAGTTCTGGAGATGGATGGTGATGTCTGGAGGGTGTATAATGCCACTGACCTGTACCCTTAAAAATAAATAAAATGGTAAACTTTATGTTATATGTATTTTCCCATAATAAAAAACATTGGGGGAAAAAAAGAATAGTGCATGATTTGCTGTCAGCCACACAACTAGTAAATGCTGGAGTTTGGATTTAAAGTCGGCTCTTTCGGATTCCAAGTTTCTGACTAAACACCAGGCAGTGGGTCTGTCTGTATGACTGAGCCCGATCATATGTTGCTTTATCGGATATTTTGCAGTTGAGGTGGCTGGCTTTGTGGTACGTTACTCCGAGAACCCTGGGAGACAACCACCCACAAGGCAGAGGAGAACAGGGGACCTCTGGGAAGTCTGTAGAACCCCAGACAGGAAGCCAAAGGGATGGCAAACATGGGTGGGGCACAGACCCTGTCCTGGAGGTCACCATTCCCTCTGTGCGCCCCCTCACATATGTGAAGCTTCCTGACCACATGGCTTCATCCTCTATGGCCGGTGGGGGGTGGGGAGGACGGGGGACATCCCGCACCCCAGACTCCTCTCTGCAGCTCAGCCATGGTGCCCTCTGCCCCTTGCTGCAGAGCATGTAAGAAGGAAATTAGGATCTGGTTGGAAAAATTACCCAAATGAGATAGAAATCGCTCACTGCGCCTGGAAAATTCTACTGTCTAAGTAGGAATATTAAGGGTGGTGACAGAACAGATACCAAGGTCACAAATGTGAGAAAATCTCTTTCTCTGCCTGTCACCCTTGGTTTTCAGGGACAGACACTGGGGTGGGATGAGGTGCAAGTAGCTTATGAGGAATAGCTGCTGACATTTAATGAATCGTTATTGTGTGCCAGGTTCTGTCATAGCCCATTGTTCGCTCTCTCCCGGTCTTCTTTCTCCTTCAGGAATAGTGGTTGGAGATCACTGGTTGGTTCCTCTCTTCCTTGGATTCCATGATATACCACCGAATCCCCTCAATAAACGACTTTTTTTCTTTCTTTCTTTCTTTTTTTTTTTTTGCTTAAGTCAGTTTAAATGGATTTCTGTTACTTTCAACCAAGGGTCTGTGACCGAAGTGGTTATACTCATTTTATAGATGATGAACCTGACACTGGAGGAGTTTAATGATTCGCCGGAAGCTAGCAAATGTCGGTACCAGCCTTTGACTCCAGGTCTGTTTGGCACTAAAGTCAGTCTTTTCTGCACGTTGCCTCCCCGGGTGGCTGGAGGAACGGGATGTGGTCCGGTAGACAAATAGTGTCACTGCTCTACATGGAAGGGAGAGGAGTGGTCTTGGCAGGGGCCTGAGGTTGGCAACCGGACAGGTCTGCAGGGAGAGGGTGGGTTGGGGGTGGAGGTACGTGAGGGGCACCCAGGGGAAGACTCACCTTGAGGAAGAAGCTTCTGAGACAGAGGCTCCTGGCACTCAGAACATTCCAGTCAGCCTTGCCCCTTCAGCATCTAGGGGTGGCTCCCCTTCCAAGTTACTAATATCACAAACTATAGAAATGATCCCTGAAAGTATAGTCTTAAGTTATTAATATCACAAGTACTGGCACAGGTGTTTCTTGGATGTAGTTTTTTTTTTTTAAAGATTTTATTTATTTATTTGAGAGAGAGAGAATGAGAGATAGAGAGCACGAGACGGAAGAGGGTCAGAGGGAGAAGCAGACTCCCCGCTGAGCAGGGAGCCCGATGTGGGACTCGATCCCGGGACTCCAGGATCATAACCTGAGCCGAAGGCAGTTAGTTGCTTAACCAACTGAGCCACCCAGGCGCCCTTGGATGTAGATTTTTGAAAGTAGGATTAGCAATCAATATTTTATATTGAAAATCATTAATTTGAAGGCGGTTTTGGCTGGAAAGCTCTAGGTGGATTTTGATTTCCCACCTTCCTATTCCCTACCCTGCCCCCAACCCCCACCCCCACCCCCCACACACACCTGGGTGGCAGAGTCCCCACCTGCTGAGGACAGAATGTCCCTGCTGAAGGACAAAAAAAAACCCCTCTCCAAGGTGCTTTCCCCAAGCCTGCAGATTCCACTTTGGAACACTAAGTCTCGATTTGAGTTGTTTGCTCCCTGAGTAGCCGGACCACCAGTGGTACCCACAGTGGCTGAGGGCGACAGTGAGCAGCTCTGGCCTCGGAGAGGTTTTCCACACCTGAAGGGCGGTCTGCATGGTTGGAAGATACCTGTGCTCTGCACGAGGAAGCCTGCTTTGCCCATTTTCTTCAAAGACAACCAGACATGTATCTAGATGGAGAGACAGCTTTTCTTAGCCCGTTGTTCGGGCTAAGATTTCAAGGGGTTTGTTGAGGTTGGCCTGAGCAGATGACAATTCACCCTGTCCTAGGCTGGTACTGATTACCGTGCCCACTCTGGTTGGCATTCTGAGATAGACCCATCCTGGCCACTCTGAAAACACGAGGGCATAAAGGTATTGTTGAATGATTATAATACTGAAAAAAAAAAATCAGTACCCAAGACTCCGTATTTAAATATATTCAATGAACACAAAAAGCTAAAGCAGTGACTCGTCAGTTTGACAACCGGATCTGTGGACGGTGGCTGAATCTCTCCCTGATTCACTCGTCCTCAGCACCGCTGATATTTCACACCGGCTTGTGCTCAGGGTAGACATCTGAGATATCCGGGGGCCAAGCAAGCCATTCATTCCCCGTTCCTCATCACTCAGGAGGACAAGCCACTTTAATTTGAAGAATTACAAATTGCTTAGTTTGAATTGAACCCATATAGTAAGTAGTCTTAGTAGAGAAAGCCTTGTAGATTTGTTGCTTAAATGGATCTTTCAGTGATTTTGAATTCTGATTCTTGTCACAGTGTAGAGTAATCCAGCTTCTGAAAGTTTTTTAAAAGTGCCCGTTTATTCATTCATACAGCAAACACTTGCTGAGCACCTACTTAGTGTCAGGCACGGTGCTAGGTCCTGTGGCTGGCCCAGTGGACTGGCAGGGACCACCCGCCCTCACAGAGGGCACTGATTAGGGCAGAGAGCCAGGTAGGTGGACGCTTGCTGGAGGGGATGTGCTCTCCTGGCAAGCATGGGTTGTATAGGAGGCGTCCCTAGAAGGATTCAGGACTCCTGGGAGGATGTCTGGCGGAAGGGTGTCTGCGTTCAGACCTGGTGGGTGACTGGGAGTTAGCGAGCAGCAGGAGGAAGGTGTTGTAGGCAGAGGAATGCGAGTCGCAAATGCCCAGAGGTGAGAGAGAACATGGCGCCCACTTCAGGGACTACACCTCGTTGTCAGGGCTGAGGGGGCATGGAGGGTGGGGAGAGGGGTACAATGGTGAGAGGTTCTTCTGGAGAGACGAGCATGGGCTAGCTGACGAAAGGCAAGGAGGACATGGTCAGAGATCTAGACTTTTATCCCGAGGCCAATGGGGTGCCACTGAAGAGCTCTTAGTAGCAAAGCTATATGATCAAATTGGCATTTTAGGAAGATGGCTTTGGCTTCAGGATGGGAAATGGGTTGGGAGGGGGGGAGAGTGTGGGTGGGAACTTTGTTCGGAAGCCACTGGAGGGATGTAGGTGAGGGTCTGGGAGCCTGAACCAGAAAACTAGCGGAGGAGAGGGAGCAGAGCGGATGGATGGAATATATTTGGCAGCTGGACCCATCAGTTAGATCTACGACGGGAGAAAGAGGGAGTGGCAGCGGGTGACCCCAGGACTTCTAAGTGAGCAGACGGATGGGAGTTGGTGTGATTCTCCAAGGTGTGGAACAGGAAGAGAATCAGACTGGGGGTTGGGCTGGGGTGCCAGGGGGAGGTGCAGTCACATGGCTTTGGACAGCTGAAGCTCCAGGTGATGATGTGCAGAAGGCGGGCAGCCCTTCTGAAGCGACAGGCAAGGTGGGAGGTAGACGAGGACTGTGAGAGCCATCAGCGCCAACGTGGTCCCTGAAGACACGGGGACAAAGGTGCTGGCCCGGGAGAATGTGTGGACGGAGAAGGGGGGAGACAAAGGCCTCAGACGGGACTTCTCAACCCCAGCACTGCCAACACCTTGGGCTGCATAATTCTGTGTTGGGGAGTGTCCTGTGCATTGTAGGGTCTTTAGCAGCATCTCTGGTCTCTACCAGTAGAGCCCCCTAGTTGGGACAAACAAGATTTCTTCCAGACATCGCCAGATGCCTCCTGAGGGCTAAAATTGTCCTCTCTTGAGAAGCGCCAGCCTAGGACAAAATAATGAGAAGCATCAATTTTTAAAGAATGGGAAAGAAGGAGGAACCTGGGAAGAAGGCTGGGAAGAAATGGCCAGAGAAGAGGGAGAAAATCAGGAACCCGAGAGTTTGAGGGACCAGAAAGTATTTAAAGAGGGACGAGTGGGTCAAAGCTGTCAAATATGCCGAGAGGCTGGGGACAAAATGAGGACCCCATGGGAGGTGGGGCCAGGAAGTGGCCCACCTGTGTGTGGAGGGCAGAGAGGGCGGAGGCGGCGGGAGCAGAAATCAAGATGATGAGGGTTTTGTGGCAGGAGTCGGGGGGGGAAATGGCTGGAGAGGGTGACTGTGGACAGCCCTTTCAGGAGGCGGGGTTGGGGACAGGGAGACATGGCACTGAAGGGGATGAGGGATCCTGGGAGGTTGAGGTTAAGGCGAGAGAGACTTGTCTGCTGCCAGTGGTGCTGGGAGGGGTGGGTGAGGAGGGTGGGGAGAGGGGAGGGGCCGAAGCCGGAACAGGGCAGGAGAGATGGCCGAGGAGGACAGGAGGCCACGGGAGGCCAGACGGGTGGAGGGAGGCCGCCTCCGACTGGTCACGGGAGGGGAGGATATGAAGCACCGAGGCTGAGGACATTCCCATCTGGAGGCTTCTGTTTCCCGGAGAAGCAGATGAGCTCATTTGCTGGTGAGGCCGCAGAGGTTTGAGTGGGCAGGGGAGTTTGGAACAGTCATTGCGGAGAATGGCTGAGAGAACACAGCAGAGACCAGAGTTTGCGGGGCGGAGGGCCAGAGCGGAGAGCCAGGTGAGGCCGGAGGCCGCGGATTTACGGAGTGCTGGTGGCAGGGCAGAGGAGGCAGGCAGGCCTAGGGCTGGGGTACCGTGGAGGGACATTGGGCAAGGGAGCTGAGGCTGCTGGTAAGAGGGGTTGCTGGGGTCAGTGGGGAGTGTGAGCCCTTGAGGGAAAACTGTGCAAGCGGGCCCCACTGTTCCTGTCATGCCACCAAGGACACAGGGGCCCAAGGGAAGCACTACCAGCCCAGGGTCCTACGTGCCGTCTGTCCCACTCTGGGAGAGCCAGGGGGGGCAGAGGCGACTGGGGCCCACATTAATCATTAGTCTCTTCCAGGTCGTTTCCCCATTTTATAAGATTAATTCTGCTTCGTGATCCAACCGGTTCACCCCTGCCGGTCACACGTGAAGACCCCCTGGCCAGAGGCGTAGGGGACTCATTCCATGACTTCAACCTGTCTGATGACCCAAGAGCTGTGGCCAGAACCCAGCCAAGTCTCAACAGCATGGCCACATCCCGGGCTTTGTGCCCCAGTGCCTCTGTATTGCAGCCAGAGGGATTCTTCCAAAAGTACTAATCAGATGGTGCCCGTTCACTGCTTAAACCCTCCTGAGGTTTCCCATCGCATCAAGAATAAAATGCAAACCCACTGTCAGGGTTTCCCTGGGCGTGGGCTCTGCTTATTTTGGAGCTTATCTGGCTGGCTGTCCACCACACAGCTGCCCTGTCATCCACTGCTCAGTCCTCCTACCACAGGGCCTTTGCACATGCTGATTCCATGGGCTGGGACTGCTCTCCCATCTTCCCAGGACTAGCTCCTTCCCATCATTCAGACCTGGCCTACATGCCGTCTACTCAGAGGGACTTCTCTATTGAGCGTCACGCCATTCGGAGCCCTCCTCCACAACCAGGTGATCCTGATCATGTTTCTTGGCTTATTTTCTTTATAGCATTTACTATGGTTGAAATTACCTTGTTTCGTGTTTACTAATTTATCGATCGTCTGTCTCTTCCATGAGAATGTCAGATCCCTAAGAGCAAGAATACATCCAGTTCCATGATTTGTCCCTAGGGGGGAACCCAGCTAGGATCACTTAGATGGCTAATGATACTTTGTACAGTGTCTTGCACACAGTAGGCAATCATCATATGTGTGCAGGATGCTGCCTTATGAAACAGGATTTCCTAGAGTCCAATGTAGTTCATTTGGAATAATCACATTTTCTATGATGACACAAAGCTGTTTGAAGAGCACCGCAAGCATTTTGTCTTACTTCCAAAGCTCTCCTGGAAGGTTCCTCGGAGGCAGGTTCAGTCAGGTGGGAACGGTCAGTCTTCCGGAGACCCAGCCCTGCTCTCCTGCCAGCGTCCTGTCCCCCAGGCCTGTTGTCGTTGTCCTGGGAACATGCTGGAGACAGGGGCAGTTTGCCAGGAACCTTAGCTCCGGCCTTTCGCTGTCTAATTCAATACATCTGAAGATCAACGGAAATATCACCAAATCAGAAGCTGTCCTCAGATCCAAAGCTCACAATTAGCAAAGGTGAAGCTTCCTGAGCTGAGTTGGCACGAGGTCTGGAAACAGCCCTGAATGAAGCAGCAGGGCGGCTGACAAAGGCCGTCCTTTCTACCTGAACAAAACTGAAAAAAAAAAAAAAAAAAGATCTGCCAACGGCCGGTCTGTAGTTTTTTCCCGTCTTGTGCATTGATTGGGTGTTCAGATTCGAGGGTTCTTAAATCCCAGCACAGCCTTAAATGCAGTCTGCCCTGCTAACAATGAAATGTGCTTGAGGGGTGGAGATTGCTCCCCATCGCTGGAGAGCTCAAGGTGCTTGTGAGACTATCAGAGAAATGAGGAAGAGCTGTACCATCCCCCACACCCTTGGCCATGAGTATTGAGAACCCTTTTGCCCTCCTAGATCATTTGTATGAACAGAATTTGAATACTGGGAAAGCACGCCTTGGTAGACCTATTGATCCCTGAGGACCTGCGAGGACCAGCATCTTGGGATGAACACAAGTGAGCTGCCGCCCAGGCAGCCAGGGATGCCAAGAGAGGGGCAGTGTCCACACACACACACACCCCGATGCTTCTGAGGGTCCCAGGCCAGCAATGGCTCTCTGTTTCTGGCCTGCGCACAGGACGAGGCTGTGAACACAGAGTCTTTGCCTGTTGGCCGGGGCTCTCAGATGGCTGGGAGTGTGCTTGCATGGAGAGGGGAGGGGCGGGGAACGCATGCCTGCTACAGCGTGCACCTGTTTACGCTAACTCCTCAACCCTGCAAGTGGGCTAGGGGTGGGCATTTCTTCCTTCAGTGGGTGGGGATGCAGTGTCCTCTGGGCTCAAGACAATCCTTGGGGCTGGTACAAGGCATCAGGATAGGCATTTAAAGTTATCTGAAGTTTCACTGATTCCAGAGACTTTTCCAGCAGTCCTTTGTGACCCCAGATCCCTCTGAGGACCCCCAATGTTCCGGGAGGCAGCCCAATCTCCCCAGGACTCAGCCTCAACACGCGGAGCCCTGTCACTGCCAAAATCACCTCTTGCAGAGTTAAAAAGGGGCTCTTCCCCAGACATCCCTGGTCAGGAGGAGCCCCCTACTACTGAAAGTTCAACTTATTCTCCCCACGATGACAATTTCAGAGCAAACAGATTGAGGCAGGCTGGAGGAGAGTCAGGCACAGAGAAGGGCTTCCAGCAGCAGGCTGTGGGTCTCAACTCGGTGCCCCCGGCCTGCAGAGGCCCACGGACCGCTTCTGCAATAACGTATTTACGTGCATAAGACAGAGTGCCTGGGATTACAAAGCAAACCGATTATAATAAATTGCGGTTATAAAGGTATTTTTTAAACACATTTATGAAATAGCATTGCACATGCTTCTTTATCAGTGCATTAAACAGCACCCTGTAGTAGTGGGCCTACAAGTGAGCATAGTTTTGAAGAAATGCTGAGTGTGAATGATATTTTGAGTTACCTGCGACCATTATAATGTGATGGGTAAATAACCGATTCTGTCCGTGATGGCATCCCAGCCACATCTGTTACTTCCGTGGTTTGTGTCTATCACTGGGTCCACTCATAATTTAAGGAAATATTAAGTTGTGGTTAGGGGTGAGTGAAAGTAAAGATGCAATTTTTTTCCTGCATCCAAGTTCCTCCACATCCCGAATCTGTCCACAGAACCCTGGGCTCCATGGACCCCAGGTGAGGAGCCCCAGCTGTTGGGGGTGGTCCGCATTAGCTGGACCGAGTTGGGGGCAGGAGAGAGACTAGGGCAGACCCCCTCATGGGAGGGGGCAGAGGAGGAGGCCCTGGCTAATCTGCCTCAGGTCTGGGTTCATGTAACTAGGCCCGGGCTGGGCCTTGTTAAACCACAGGCCCGGGTCCCTTTCCTCTGTCATACAGGGGAATGACCCCAGAGGAATGTGGAGACTAGACTAGCAATAAGGTTCAAGGTTGGGGAGCGTAATTGCTCACATAAACCCCCTTAATGTGAAAGAGGGGCGGAGGCTCTTTGTTATTTTATTCTATTTCCTTATTTTCGCTTGGTTCACTCTAGCCCCACCTACATTATAAGAAAAGGGGGTGGCCTTCTCTTGTTTTTAACCCCACAGGTTATAAACTGGAGGGCGGGGATGCCATTTCCCCAGAAAGGGCTGACACACAGTGGTGGCATGGGGTGCCAGGTGGCATGGGGCAGTGACAGGCCCAGCAGCCTGGGTTCCTGCCCCAGCTCTGTGCAGTTACTGAGCCACTGGTGGGCTGCTTACTCCACCTGCCAGCCCCAGTCTCCTCATCTGTAAAATGGTACTAACACCACCTGCCCTACCATCTCACAGGACAGCTGTGACGATCAAGGACCTTCATGATTGTACACGTGCTCTCTGATGTGTTTCTTTATCCAGTCCCCGAAGTAACTGACAAATAAGTAAATAAACAAATAAGACAATTGGAGTAAAGGGAAAATTCGGGCAGGAAAATGTGGTAAAATATGCGGTTGCCCAAGAGCCTCTACAGATGGGTGGAGGGGGTGAAACGTGGGTGTTGGGGTGGGAATGGGTGAAGGGGGGAGAACTCAGGGGCGGTGGGGAGGCGGGATGGAGGGGCTGGTGCTGACTGGAACTGGGGAAGGCAGAGGCAGATGCGGCTGGGAGGACACTCAGGTTTCCAGCTTGGGCAACTGGGAACAGTGGTGCAGGAGTCCCAGGCTGGGGGGAATCCATGAGTTCATCTGAAACATGTGGCCTTTGAGGTGACCCTAGTATTCCTGTGGAGCTTCACAGATGAGTCTGGACAGCACATGCAAATTTGAGCGTGAATGATAATTGCAGTGATATGGCAACGTATGGGATCAGTGCGAGGTGAGTGGAAGATAAGAGAAGAGTGCCCAGGGCAGGGCCCAGCATTTAATCCTAGAAGACCTTAATGTCAGCCACAGTCTGCCCGTGCAGGGCTTACACCAACAGCTAACTGCCATTGCAACTTCTGCTAAAATGGTCTCGCTTCCATTTCTGCTGTTCTGTATTATAATTGCCCTTCAGATCTGCCTCTCTCACCCTCTGTCCTCTGTCCTTTAAAAAAAATAATAAATGTGGTGGCACCCGTGCTTGGACGTGGACCCGAGGCATACAGTGCTTGGAGATTGAATGAGCAAGTCAAGTGGATGATTTGAATCTGCGGATGCTGGGGAGGTCAGCAGGCGGTCCACCTGGCTGCCTCCGAAAGGCTCAGTAGATGTCATTGATGTAATTTCTGAGAAAGCAGGGAACCCATAAAGACTCTTTCATTCGCAAGAATTTGGGAGGTGGGGGTCACACGGAAAAAATTCCTGGTTGTATCTCCCAGGACAGTACACGGAGTGTGAGTTTCCTGATGGCAGGTAGTGTATGTAAGGCAACTGTTTGTTCAACACGTAACAGCAATGACAACAATATTAGGAAGCCTTTACCCAGCACTTCCTATGTAGCCGGTGCTGTTCTAAGAGCCCTCCAGTCTACGAATCTACCAGATAAATGTTACTGTGGGCTCCCATTTTATACCTGAGGAGGCTGGAGCACAGAGGGCTTAAGTGGACCATCTCAGATCATCATTAAGTAGGTGGCTGAGCAGGGAATCAAGCCCTATACCTGGGACATGGTAGATACTTGATAAATGTTTGTTGAACAAATGAATGAATGAATAAACACCTTGTACTTCCACAACATGGAACCTGCATCTCTGTTGGTCCACAAGCCTCTGGGGAGCTCTCCGAATCAACTCTGCAGCTGGCTCTGTACTCGCAGAGGGCAGGGAGAGATTGAAGAAAGGGGTAGGATCGCTCCAGATTGGCAGGTGGCAGTTTTAATGAACAAAGGGAATTTACATATGATGTTTGCTTTGAGCGGCAGCAACCCAACCACCAAATGTTAAATGTTTATACAGAAAGAGGCCCTCACTGGGCTCAGTCATGTGTACCGTGCAGGTGTTCTCAGCAGCACATCATCTCAAGGCCGTGTCCTTGGAGCATCCCTGGGAGCAGGAAAGGCAACAAAAGCATACATTCCAAGGACAGGGGATGGGGGTGAGGAGCCTTGGATCGCCTGCGTCCAGCTCAGGAGTCAACTGGCATTCACGTCTTCTTGATGACCTTCCCCAACAGCCTCTCCTTATTGAAATCTCAGCACTTAAGTCTTGGCTCAAAGTCCCCCTTCTCTGGGAGGCCGCCTGGTATTCTGCCCCCACGCCTTTTTGCCCACAGCACTTTGGGTGTCAGTCAGAGCTTGCTCCATTCCTGTGATCACTCAATGAACCACGCACACATGTCACTGAACGACGGGGACATCTGCATCCCTCTCAGTGCTTTGGACTAGTAGGTGCTTAATAAATGTTTATTGACTTGAACTAAATTGAAGTTGTAATAGGAGCCAAGATGTGTACTGGGAGGAATTAAGAGCAGCCAGAACACGAAGATCATTAGAAATGGGGCCAAAGAGGCAAGTGACCTTGATGGGTGATGAGCAGCAGAGATCTGAGAAGTGACAGGGTCCCAAGAGGACCAAAGGCAGCTCCTTTCCTCAGAGGTGAAGGAAAGAAAGCCTTCTCTCTAAGTTAGTGAAGTGTGTTCAGCTCAATATTCAATATTCAGTCTGTGGCTCTGAAATGTGTATTTCCATTAACAGTTGCTCCCCAGGGAGCCACGGTTCCTGAGCTCAGAGCAGAAGTCGAGAGGTTTGTATTGTGTTACTTTAATAAGGTTTGATGTTGGCTGAAAATTCATGAGTGCCTGGTGTCTTCCACTGTTCTAAGCTCTTTACAAATAGCTCATTCTCTAGTCCTTTTTACAACCGTCAGAGCAGGGTGCTCTTATCACTGTCATCATCATTTGCATTTTACAGTCGAGAAAGCTGAGGCACATAGGGAGGTTCGGTGATCAGTACAAGGCCACACAGCTTCAAGTGGCAGACTCAAGAAGGCCTCCCAGACATTCTGCCTCCCGAGTCCCTGCTCCTAACTACAATACCTTTCGACTTCTTTCAATTCACCACACAGAAAGATAGCCTAGCCCTTGAATCCACATTTTCCTTGTCAGTGACAGCTAAAGAAATGTACGTTGGCTGCCTCAGTGGCCCCCCAGAGAGCTAGGCTGTAACTGCAAGCTGGTTCAAGGAGTCGGGGGAGTGCGCAGGAGAGGCCGTATAAGACCGGGTGCCCATGCCGTCCTCCGGGCTTGCAGACCCTGCGGCAGCTCAGGCATTGAATGAGCCACTGTGTAAAGCTGCTGGCCCCGGGGGTCTGGTTTCATGCCGGCATCAGGCATCATGAATTCTAAGAAAGCAGAGGATGAGCTCTGTATCACTGTTGCTGCCAGAGACATCCAGGGGTTTGCTAAGTACATTTGCTCAGAAGAGGTGAAGGAAGAGAAAACAAAGATTGAGAGTAAGAAACAGCTGAGCACAGTTACATGAGATTTGGGGAGAGAAATATGGGAGAATGCCCATATGTCAAAGGAGCTTTACAAATACTTTAGCATTGAGCTGAGATCATAGGTGGTACACGTAGGATCTGAATATTTAAATTTATCCGATCTTTGGTTGAATATCATCCTTTTTCTTAAGCATTTCTGGGAATCCTTAAGGTTGTACCAGTGCACAATCAATTCAGGAGTGGATGCTCTGCTTCTCACCGCCATGGTGAGCATCCCAGGAGAGACCTTCCTCCAGGAGTCCACACATTGGGTTCTTGGGCAAGAGTTATATCTTCTCAGGCATGCCCCTACACGGTGCAGCCTATTCCTTGCAGCTGGCTGCATTTGCCAAACCAAGCAGGAATGTTCCTCTAAAACACAGAATGGTCATGGTGTCAGGGGAGGGGCTGAAGCCATCGGCCACCCCTGACCCCGTGCCTTATGCAGCATTAGTACTCCCTGCTGCCATGGTCTTATTTAAAAGACATACTCAATGGTTTTGTAACTGTGGGCAAGTTGAACCTCTTCAAGCCTCAGTTTTTTGGTCTGTAAAATGGGGAGAGTTCCAACAATGGCCTCATTGAGAGAGGGAATGCATACTGTCCTTATCACAGGGCCAGGAGTGAGGAAATGCTCAAGAAGTGGTATTTGTTGGGATCCTGGTGCTAGTGCACAAGTAGCCTGAGAAAACAGAACAAGAAAATATACGTTTTGGTGTCCGAACTGCACAATTTTGCAGTGAATCATGTAATCTTTTATTTGGGGCAGTATCCCCTACTTGCCAGGTATTCTTAACGTATGCAAGATGATGGAAGCAATACATACTTGTTGATCACAGCCTTGGATGCAAGAGACCCAATCATGAGTTTCCTTGGTCCAGACACTGAAGGAAATGATAGACGAGTGAGGAATTCATAGCTAGAAGGCAGAGGCCTGCTTCCGGGGACCTTTATGCTTTATACTCTCCAGCACCAAACACAGCCCCCAGGACAGAGAAGGACCTCAGTGAATGTTTTCTGATGATTCAGTGAAGGTAATATCTCAGCAGGTTTGGGATCTCTCTTTGCAAAGATAGTCTCCCACAATTTACTTTTCTCAGCTTTTGTTTTGTTTTGTTTTTTAAGTCTCAAAAGCACCACATCTCAAACTATTCTGTTTATCTAACTTAGTGTATGTTTCCTGATTTCCACTATCTACTTAAATGTAGTTGGGGTTAAGAAAGGAAAATTAAAAAGCTGAGAAAAAGAGCTATAATCCCTACAGGGCCTTTTGCTCGTGAGGACGTTGGGGTAATGATAGATTTGCCTCAGTACACAGCGGGCCACACCTCTGAGGTGCTGTGCAGGTTTGGGCTCAGAGAGGGACTCAATCACCGGGTGGGTTTGCTTCAGAGAATAGATTGGTTTAGCCTGCCATCTACCGGTCAAACTTGTAGGTACAGGTTTGTTGCATTTTTGTGTCCTCACTTGCACATCCATACATATATACAGTACTCACGATTGTTTTAAATTTCAAAACAAAACCAAGTTTCTCCCCATTACCATCCAGCTTTCATGTCTGGTCACTTCCATCCCCCCCTAGATCCTGAGAACCGGAAGGTCTTGTCTTCCTTTCCTTCCTTCTCCCGACTTACCATTGACCTTTCTCTGCAGTCTGCCCAAGGAGCATCTCCCCCCAGCCCCCATTTCTTTCTTTTGCACTCTGTTACCTCTTGTTCACTTTCCAACATCAAGCTGCGGCGTCTCTCCCAGCTGACCACCATGTTCCAGAACAAAGCCTAGTATTCTGATGATCTACCAATACAGCGTTTCCTCCAGACCTTACAACCAACTTGGTTCCTCTCCAATTGTTAAACTCCTTCAGGAAAGGCATTTCCAAAGTCCTTCCAGGAACTCATGGCAATGGCTTACATTCCTGGAGCTGTGGCAAAGCCCTCATATAAAAATGATCCTCACCAGAGCCTTTGAGGACAGGATGGGTGTGGGTGGGGTGGGGGATGGTACAAGTCTGTGCAGGAGGGAGCATGTTCACATTTATTTTCTCTATAGCAACATGGATTCATGTAACCAACATTCTCACCTACCATTTAGGAGGATAAGTTCACACACAGATTTAAATAAAGAAGGAGGAGGGAGGACAGTACAAGGACCAACCCTCATTGGTTTAAAAGAAAAAATTAGTCTTCCATGAAAAGAATCAGCACAGCTACACATCAATATGGATGAATAGCACAGACATAGGTTGAAAGTCAGACACATAGAGTACCTGGTGTGTGATTTCATCGACACCAAGTTCAAAACCAGACAGTTCAATCCTAGGGATCAGGGTAATGCTTCCTTCTGGTCAGGAGGCACAGGCGGCATGGCCTGGGAACCTCTAGGGAACTGGAAATGCTCTCTGTCTCATCTGGCTGGTGGCCGCACAGATGTGTACAGATGTGAAAGTCCTCTGACAGTTGATGCACTTTACTATCTATAAATTATACCAAAAAAAAAAAAGTAAAGGGAAAAAAAACCCCTGCAGTCAGGATTATCACTGAGAAGCATCCTTAGGGGCCATTTGTTGTCATCTTGGGAGAGGGGGAGCCACAAGGTCAGTTTTACTCCCCAGAAGCCTGTGCTCTGGGGAGAGGTCAGTTGGGTAGGCCCCATGTGCAGAAGTGCTGGGGCCCCGAGTTGGGGTGTATGAGCCATGAGGGGTGAGGGAAGGAGGGGAGAAGGGAGGAGTTATCAAGAGATCTCTTTCGGGGCCTTTAATTTTAAAATTAATTTTAAAGACTCTCCCCCCAGACACCACTTTTTTTTTGCATGTCAAAAAGAAACTTTATTTATAGTAGCCTCATAATATTCTGTAAGCAGACATCACTTTTTAAAAATGGCAACAATTGGGGCGCCTGGGTGGCTTAGTGAGTTAAGCATCTGCCTTCGGCTCAGGTCATGATCCCAGGGTCCTGGGACTGAGCCCCACATTGGGCTCCTTGCTCAGTGGGGAGCCTGCTTCTCCCTCTGTACCTCCCCCCGACCCATGCTCTCTCTCAACCAGATAGATAAATAAAATCTTTAAAATAAAATAAAATGGCAACAGTTCTGCTTCAGGGAGGCTAATCTAGCTGGCTGCCTTCCAGGTCCCTGGTTGCTGTCAATCTCTCTGGAGGGCTCTCACTTTGCAGGAAGTGCTCACACCTTCATCACCCACGGGAGCAGGATTGAGAAGGCCCCACTCAGAACCTGAGATCCTCTGAGGCACCAACAGTTTAGCGTCTGATTTAGTGTCTCGGAGCTCGGCTTTGAGAAAACTGGCACCAGGAATCATCAGCTCCCGAGTTGCAGTTTCCAGGACCTGAAAGGCCTTGAAGCTGGTCTGGAATGCTCTCGAGCTGGCCTGACCCAGGGGCCGAGCAGCCCGAGTTAGGAAGAGAGGATGCTGGTTACGCAGTCGCTTGTAACCCGAAGACGTGTAATGTAAACTTCCCTTCTTCAGCATGCTGGCCACATAACTACGCCAGGGCAGAAGTTACGAGTTTTTTTATTGGTGCTTCAGGGTGACATTCTGAACGGCCGTCGTGCTTACTCATTTCTGGTTATCGGCAAGCCGTAGTGCTTCAAACCGCCAGGGGACCGTCAGAGATAAACGCGGGCCAGCCACAGACTGAGTGGCGCCCAGAACAGCTTTCATGTGTTGTGGATTTCCTTTCCTTTCCTTTCTTTCTTTCTTCTTTTTTTTTAATTTTACAATAATGTATTTTTTTGTGACCTGGAAATATTTATGCAAGATATAGAAGGAAAAAAAAATCCCCTAAATCTCAGGGCACGAGAATCCTACTGATGCACTGCGCTTTGCTTTTTTTTCCTCCTCTGTATTTGATGGCAGAAAGTAGCAGAAAACACAAGATGGAAAGTCCAGGTTTGGGGGATTACTACGTCCTGAGAGCACTGATCAAGGAGGGCCTTAACACTCGAGTTCCCAAGGATGTCGGGTTGCGGGGGCATCTGCATGTAGGTTAATTTCTGACGTTAGTGTGAAAGGTAAAGATCATATCTAACCATAGCGGTTAGCGTAGCTGCTTTCCAAAATTACCTTTGAAATTCCCTTCACTCTCTCATAAAGCACACTGAACTGGTTTCAGTTAAAGAAGTCTGCAGAATAATTCTAATACACACAGAAATGTGAGAACCACTGAACTCCACAGGATGAAATAGTTTTTGGGAAAATCAGCAGATTCAAAATGGAAACAGTGCCCCCCAGGTGGCCAGCAGGAGTCTGAGCAGCAGACGCGAACTCCCTGTGACGTGGTCGCCACCTGCCGGCCCCAGCGTCCCCTTGTCAGCCCCGAAGGGCAGCGACTCCCCGAAGCACAGGTAACACAGCCATGCGACACAGGTCGGTGTGGGGACAGATGGCCAGCTGCATTTTACCCCCGCAGCGCTAGCTAAATTACGGAGGCTGAGATATGCAGAGAAACATCTTCAGGAAGTACACACGGGAGGTGCAATAAAACACTTCTGCGCTATGTGTGCTCTGTTTATTTAGCAGTTCGCAAGGTGAAAAACACATCAGAGTAAACCACTTTTCCTCCAGATTTTCATCTTGCTCAATTTTATTACTATCTTTGGGCTTTAGAGCACGGGGCTCCTTTTCCTTGGCTATAATGTAAATTATAAGTTGGGTGGGAGGAGATCTCTGTGGAAAACAACTGACCGATTGCCGACCACCTCACTGCAGGGCTGTGGGTCCTGGTTCCGGAGGCAGCCCATAGGGACCCCTTCTTAGCCAGAGCTCCGCTGTCACAACTCAGCATGATGCTGGGAATGGCCAGCAGCAAGAGCTGGGGCAGAGGGGGTGCTGAGCACTTAGGGGTGGCTGGGCCTGGTTCCGTCCCGATGCTTCCCCCATCACAGCCCACCCGATCACCCCTTCTGAGTTCGCCGGCTGCTCCCTTCTCATTTCTCCACAAGGAAGAATAGCTGGTGATGACTTCTAGGGAGAAGGTAAGAGGCCTGTTCATGCCTTTGCTCTCCTTCCCCAGGTGCCCTGTGGTGAGGCACGGGGGAGAGGAATAGGAATGGAAGTGGAAGAGAGCGGGAGCTGAGTTGGAAAGTTCTAGAAAGCCAATTTCCTGACTGAAAGGTGGCGGCCAATAGGAAAAACCGAGGAAGTTTGGGTAATGGATTATGAATCCACCAGTGGAGTGCACTCAGGAAGGGGCTCCCTGCCAGCCAGCAGGGCCGCAGGGGACAGCCTGGAGGAGGGCCTTCCTGGAGCCTGGCGCCCACACTTCCCTCCAGGGCCTGGTATCTGGGCTGATTCTGCTCACTCTGCATGAGCCCGTAGTCAGGACGAGATTTGCCCCAAGTTTTTGCAGAGCTCTGTTTCCTTAGTCTAAGCCAACAGTTGTCATTAGATCCTGAGAGGGATACTCTGACTGATGTGGTTCGGGGAGCACATGCACCCCCTCTGCGCCAGAGTGGTGGCAAGCATCACTCCATAGAGGGGCCAGTGTGTTCTTGGGCCATCGGTCACCTCACCTTACGACAGCCCCAAATGTCAGCGTGGACATGGACCTGGCCTTATGGAGCAGCCTTGGAGAAGCTTCTGATGGCTGGTGAGCCTCCACACCACAGTCTCGTCGGGTCTGTCACGCTGTTCGTGAGCAAGAGCTGTTGGCTTCCTGTTCGGGGGCTGGGGCAGCGCAGCGTGGGCTTGAAGCCGGAAACAGGCCTCCAAATTTCATTTCAACTAGTCCCTGCTCCACGAAGAGAGCCCTCAAACGATAGCACACAGATGTTGCGGTTTCTTAGGATTTGCTAAAGAAGAAACATAAATACCCTCCCACAAAGCTGAGTCCCTCATCATGCCTACAGTCCTCAGGACCCAAAGCCAGCCCTTGGGTGGCAGCAGGGGACCCACCCACAGTCCCCTTATTTTTTAATCTTTATTGTTAGAAAATTCAAATGTGCAACATGTGTTCAAACCAGGGTCTGTTCCTGCAAAACATGTTCTCATCATCACACACATGCGAGGCCAGGGTTCCTGCCCCCGCATATCCACAGGGCCCCGTGAACCCAGAAAGTGCCCAGTCATGATGAGTGACTGTCGACCTGGCTGTGAATATCCCGGCAGCTCCTGTTCTGTGAACATCCTTCCATGGGATCCGCCTGCTGCTTCCTTCATCCACGGCAAGCTAGAGGCTATAAAGACACCTACTTTTCTGGAGTTAGGCAAGTGCTGACCAATATTCTAAGAGAAGCAGTTAAGCACACATACATAAAAGTCACCTGTCAGCTCACCCACCAGAGATAAGCCCCGTTCATATTCTGGGTGCCTGTTCTCCATCTCCCTCCCAGGCCCTCGTGCTTTTATGTCTGATGGGCAGCCAACATCCTGGAAAAAGTGGTGTCGCAGCCTGTTCAGAAAGGCAATTTAAACAGCTACGCATGGCTCACCAACTTTAGTGCTCGTAAGAATCACTTGGAGAGCTTGTAAAACAGATTCCCAGAGCCGACCAGGAATTCTGCATTCCACGGGTGCTGAGAGGGGTGGCCTGCCTCATCCAGCCCAACTGCCTTCAAATCCTCTGGGCTTCTTCGACCTCCGCTTCCCACAGAGGCCAGGACCTGGTTAGACCTCCTCTGGGCCTTCACTGAGCAGAAGGGGAAAGAGTGTTCTGGCTAACTGCCGAGGCAGGAGTCATGGTAGCCATGGGCTCTCTGGAAGCAGCAGGGGAGGAGGAGCGTGTAGATTCTGCACTGCCTCTTCCTGGCCCTGTGACCTCGGGCCAGTCACTTCCCCAAGCCCTGCTGCCTCCCTGACATGAGGACGGTCACTGCACCTTCCCCACGGAGTGTGGGTTGGATAAGGATATAATGGGGCCATGGTCTTGGGTTGGCCCCTCGTGAGCCCTCAGGGGCTGACTCCAAGAACCATGGCTCAGGGCACGGTTGATTCTAGTGTGATCTCGTCACTTAGAATTCCCCATCTACAAAGCATGGAACGGTGGGCACGGACCTCACGGGTCCGAGGTACCAGTCACATGAAATAAGGCCCGTAGAATGCCGAGTATAAGCCTAGCCCATGTTCTGTGAATCATTGTTTGAACCACTTCATACCTCTGTGCTGTGCTCCGTAACCCGAGGGATCCACCAACAGGCTTTTTATTTTAAAATCTTTATTGTTACAAGATTCAAGCAGACTTGTCCAAGGTCTCCTCTTACACCCATCACCCCAGTTCAACAATTAGTAAAGTTTTGCCTCCCGACCACCTTTTCTTGGCTGGCGCTGGGCTCAGGTCTGCTCCGGGGTTTCAGAAGCAGGGGCAGACGTGGGAACCTTGGGGCAGGTGTCTGGGGCGTGGGGGTGGGGGGGTAGCCCCGAGCAGCAGCTGCTGGGAGAGGGATCTGGAATCAGCAGGAAGTGAGGGCAGTGTGAGCTGCCTGTGCGGCTTTTGTGGTTCCCAGTGACCAAAGCATGAATGTTGAGTTCAAAACAAGCAAACCCAGAAATGCTTCTCTATATACATTAGACTCCGCAGTCATCCCAAACTGCTTCATGCTGCCAATTCCAAGTACTCCCTATCAGTATCGTCTCTGGCTCACAGCAGACTGATAGCTTTCATAGATCCTCAGCCCTACGGTTTCCCCTGTATCACAGCCCGGCACTCAGCACATGGTCCCTGGGCCCCAGAAGGTGGGTGATTCTGCATCTCCAGGTACAGGATCTCTGCTGGATCGAGACCCCCTCCCCCGGGTCTTTCCTGCTTCCTCGGAGTGGCTATCAGCTAGGACGGCTTTCCCAACCCAATTTTGCCAGTTTTTGGCTCAAGAGATTGATTACGAGGTTTTCCACCTACCAAAATGTTGTCACGTCTTTTCATCGGGACCAAGAGGGGTGATGTGAGGGGTACAGAGGGCTTGGGCTGTTTTATGGATACCAAGAAGGGGAGATGCTACACATGGCAGGTACATTCCTGACAAACCGGGGACAGCGAGGCTGCTGATGGGGCGGGTGC